AGGTTTTAATTTTTTGCTTCAATATGAAGAAATCTGCGGCTGAGGCTCATCGAATGCTCTCAAATACTTATGGTGAGGTCGCTATTAGTGAAAGAACGTGTCGTGAGTGGTTTCAACGCTTCAAGAACGGTGATTTTGATGTCCAAGATCATGTTCTGTATTTGGTGGGACCAGCTCAGCGTAGTGTATTATGAAACCGACTGAAACAATCACAGGCGATCGATATCGAACGCAATTGATGCGTTTGAGCCGAGCATTGAAAGACGGCATTGAGCATTGAAACGACCTCAATACAACGAGAAACACGATAAAGTGATTTTGCAGTGATTTGACAATGCTCGACCCCATGTTGCGAAAGTGATCAAGACATATTTAGAAACGTTGAAATGGGAAGTCCTACTCCACCCGCCGTATTCTCCAGACGTTATCCTTCCTCTGACTATCACTTGTTTCGATCAATGGCACACGGCCTGGCTGACCAGCACTTCCGGTCTTATGAAGAAGTAAAAAATTGGATCGATTCGTGGATAGCCTCAAAAGATGACCAGTTTTTTCGACGCGGGATTCATACGCTACCCGAAAGATGGGAGAAAGTAGTGGCCAGCGATGGACAATACTTTGAATCATAAATGTATAACCAGTTTTTTACAATAAAGCCTCGAATTTCGAAAAAAAAACGGCGGAAGCAAAGTTGTACACCTAATATATATATATATATATATGTAGGGTAGACCATTTTAATCAATACACGCGAATATCTCGATAAGAAGAAATTTTTTTCAAAAAATGTTTCAGATCAAAAAATTTTATGGTTTCAAGGGGAAAAAAGATGGTGACCTTGGTTCACCTTGAAAAGTAATCCTAAGATCAGGTCCATGTTACATAAAATTTTTTTAATGGAACCTTCCATTTTTATTGTGAATTCTTGTAGTTTATTTCAAAAGCTTTTCAAAACATATATATAATAAAATATTTATCGTTAGATACATTTCAAGTTATGAGGTTTAATACAATATACTGCCGATTATTTGTATTATTCAAGGTGTCCGACTGACGACTAAAATCTTTTAAATATTACTCAAAGTCATAATTTAAATGGCCTACCTTGTATACAAGGTGATATCAATTTATAGTCCCACCCGTCTTAAGCAGGTAGAGCGGACTAAACTCGAGTCGAAAAGTTTACCATTTTGCAACATGCATTTTGTTTAGTTAACGAGATATTAACATTTAAAGATAGCCGCTCAATCTACTATTGCCGAAGCATGCCAAAGATACGGACCACTGAACGCACGGCACGAGGGCCGCGAGAAGCGAGTATGGCCTAGCAGACGCGCCGTTCGAGCTTAGAGGCTCGCGACGAGTTTGTCCCACTCCCCGCGCGTCATCAAGTTATCGACGGCGGATATTCGGCTCATTAGTAATAATATCTTGATTGCAAAAATTGGGAAATGATCAAGAATTGTTGGAAAAAACACAGTTTAGTTCGTTCTGTAGCGTGCATATGTACATACAGAAAAATATTATATAAATATTACTTGTTCAAGTAAATAATGAAATAAAGAGTATTTTAAAATTATATTATCAAGAAAATATTCTTTGTAATGATATAATCGTTACACAAAAGAAGAAAAATAAAAATTGCGTTTTCTCTCAGCATTAGAATAATATTTTTCTGCATTTTTCTACACTATCGCTCATAGAAGTTCGGACATAAATTTCATCAAATGATTGTGTAAAAAATTAAGACATAAAAATATTATTTTTTTGCATTATTTTTAAAATATATTTTGAATCTTGTATGTAATACATACTAACAGTTGCAAAAGCTTTATAAATTAGTTTTAATTTTGTATATCAAGAAATATTGTCTTTACTTCATACAACATTGATATATAATTAATAAATTTATTAGTATAATTAGTATAATTAATAAATTTCAAAAATTCGATCAGAGAACAAATATGGGCTCATGCTATGGTGTATGTTGCCTATCCTCATAAGTGGAGGATAGACTAGCAAAAGCTTTATAAAATATTTTTAATTTAATTTGGCACATAAAATTAAAAATAATTTATAAAAGTTTTGCAATTGCTAGTATGTGTACAAGTGATCTAAAATATATTTTAAAAAATAATACAATTGCTGTTTTATATCTTAATTTTTTACACGATCATTCGATGAAATTTATGCGGATGTCCGAATTTTCATGATTGGTAGTGTAGAAAAATATAGAAAAATATCAGTCTAGTGCTAAAAGAAAATGTAATTTTCATTTTTCTTCTTTTGAATAACGATTATATCATTATAAAAAATATTTTTTTGATAATATAATTTTAAAATACTCTTATTATTTACTTGAAACAAATAATATTTATGTAACATCTTTCTGTATGTACATGTGCGCGCTTCAGAACGAACTAAACTGAATGATTTTTCAACAATTCTTGAGTTTTTGAACAGTTCTTGAATTTTCGCAATCGAGATATTATTTCTAAAGCGCCGAATATCCGCTATATCGATAATTTAGCGCGCGGGAAAGTGGAGCAAGCGCCCCACTCATCGCCTTTAAGCTCGAATGCGGCGCGACTGCTAGGCCATCCCCGCTTCTCGCGGCCCGCGCATCGTGCGTGATAAGCCCTTCGACAATAATAGGTCGGGCGGACGCGCGTATTCGGCTATCTTTAAATGTTAATATCTCGTTAATTATTGCGAACATTGCAAATGATAGAGGATTTTCTGACTCAATTTAGTCCGCTCTGACCTGCTCAAGAGGGGAGGGAAGGGGGGGTCATAAATTGATGCCACCCTGTATATTTCAATCTTTCATTTCTGCAATAATTTTTTACAAAAAATTTCCTGTGTTCATATTACTCCTAAGGATGCTCATATTAGCCTATCCAGAGAATAATATGAGCACTGGGTGGGTAATAAGAGTACTCACCATTTCATCATTTGCATTAAAATAATCAATACTAATGTAAAATACATAAAACATCAACAAATCTATACCAAATAGTATACATAAAATTTTTTTATTCTTCAATGATATATTAAAATGTTCCCTCTTAAAGTGCTCATAATATCTGATCATACTCTATATAACAGTTCTTCAAAAGTAATTCTTTCAACACATTGTTTACGTGTCATGATATTTTATGATTACCTAGATTAAAATCTTCAAATATCTTTTGCTTTTAGTTCTATATTTATGTAGACAATTAATATTGACTGCTACAGAAAAATTTCAAGCCTTCGATTATGGATATTTCGACAATTACAAGCAATATGGACAGATGACACTCATAATGTATGATCTTACTAAAGTTACTGCGCCTTTGGCTTTATTTTACGGTGCTAACGATGTGATTGCTCCAGTAGCGGTAAGTCACTTTTGACTTTTTTATAAAAACTTCTTTTGATAAAAACATATATTGAAAAGTAGAATAAAATTTTATTAAGAATCTATACATATTCTATCAGGAGTTAGTCCTATTTCAAAGAAATTTATTTTAAAATATATATTTTAAAGAAGAAATTAAAATGTTAATTTGTATTTATTATTTTAAATAATTTTTTCTGATCTATTTTTTATTAAATATTTTAAATATTTTAAATAAGTTTTTGGAACATTTCATATTTTATATTTTAAAATTGAATCAGTTTTTTACCGATTTTGTATTTTTTAACCGTCGATGACACCAATTTGGCTTTGCTGAAAAATTGTTATAACTTTTGTAAATTTCCATATTGGTTAACAGTTTTCGCTGACTTTTCATCATTTTAGAAGTTTGATTTAAAAAAAAAATTAATTAATTCCACTCATGTTTACACATGTTTATTTTTATTTTCATTTTTGTAAGCCGCTAAAAGTCACCAAAATGGCGTTTCATGTATATTCTGAAATAATCGGACATTAATATTTTGTCAGTATGAGTTAATCATTTGTATACGTCTATAATTCCGACATATTTTCTGTCTTGTTTTTTTCTTCAGTAGTATTATTCATGATGGAGGTGAAGCATTTTGAAGGATGCGCAATAGATAGTAAAATAGTTTACCGGCTTGGCCAGTCAGACGCGATTGGCAATACAAAAAATAATCATATGGCAAAATATCATTTTCAAACAAATAATTTATTTAACAATTTATTTAATTGAAACATGATCTTTTCATTTCATATCGCATAAATCTGTTTTAAAATTAGCGATGTGCTTATCAGCGACTTGAGCCCATTCTGTCACACACATTTCTGTCATGGCCAACATCTTGAAAATATCATACAATGCCGATAGCATTTGATTGGTCGAAATTCGCCCCATCCTTATCCCATCATGCACAATGCTTCACATTTCTGATTTCACCATGATATTGTTTTCATGACAAAAAGAATCAACATGTTAACGGTGAAATTACGATTATTGTATTCAATGTTTGTTTTTTTTCACACTGTACAATACAGAATATCGAATATATACATACCTATATATATATATATATATATATATATATATATATATGTATACCCATACAGCACAGATATATTGCAACAATATTTTGCAAAAATATTTCATTGCAAAATTGCAAAATTGCAAAAATGCAACATTGTGAAATATTGCTGCAATATTTCAGCAACATTGCAGCAACGTAAAAATGTCCATTTTAAAAATATTGATATGTAATGTTGCAGCAATATTACAACGTAATATATATGCAATATTAGGTTTTGCACAGTGGAGAAATACTTGCAGTATTATTGCAGAAACATTGTAATAATATTACATTATTAACGTTACTGCAATATTTATTATAAGATTTTGTATATAAATTTAAATATAAAAAATTAGAAGTAGGAGTTAAAACATACAATAAATACAAATAAAATATGACTTCATAATTAATTAGATCTTTATATTTTATAAGCATGTTACGATATACACCGCCAGTATTAAAAATTTTACAGTGTACGTAATGTAAATTATAAATTTTCAGTATTGAAACACACCTATAAAATATAAAAACATAGTTAATTATCAAGTCATATTTTATTTGTATTCATTGTATGTTACATTTAATTCCTACTTCTATTTTTTTATATTATATATCTTATATCTTATTATTGTATCTATTATGCATTATATTTAATCTTTACTTCTAATTGTTTTATGTCTATAAATTATAGGCACAATTTCTATAAATTATAGACATTGACTACACCTTATGCCCGTTTCCATTAATGTAGATTAACTTTAATCTCGGTTTAATTTACTCTTCATCTTTTTCTAATCTTTAGAATTAGAAAAAGACGAAGATAAGTTGAATTGAGATTAAAATTAATCTATAATGGTAAAAACATTAATCGGGTTTAATCATATTCGTAATTAGAAATTAACCATTCCGTTTTTCAAAGGAATATAATTATGAGATTGGTCAATTTTAGATGTTATGAACTATAGATGTTATGAAACTCGATTAAGTATGCCATGTAAACGTGATCATTAATTCCTATTCTTCCATTATCTTCAGGTCCTTACTTTATTGGGTTATACACAAATCAATATATACGAGTCTTAACACTGAAAGTAAACTTTCTAGCAGAGACACAAATCGACACAGTGACAAGAGTTCATTCTTGTCTTTGTTTCTTACTAATTTTTGAACAAGGATGACTCTTGTGTCAATTTGTGTTTCTTGCTGGAAATATTTTTAAAATATTGCTGCAATATTGCTGAAGTAATATTGCAAAAGGAAGTCTTCGCAATGTTTCTGCAACATGGCATTGAAATGTGCAGCAATACTACAAATTTTTAATTTAAGAAATTGATTAGAAACAGATTACATGGTATACATATGAAATGCATTATACATAAATTCATGGTAATTATATACTATAATTACAATATAATATTTCATAATAATTGTGGTTTGTATATATTATATTAAACATTACATCGAAAAAAGGAAATCTTTTATGCATAGTAACTTAATGAGACCATAAAAATTCTACGTAACGTCACATATTGGGTCCAATTCTTTTTAGTAATGACAAAAATCAGAATCAGACAATAAAACTATTAGAGGGTCATTACAAATTGAAGTGCGGAAATGCGAAAACGCGGAAGACAAAATTAACTAAACTTTACTAAATTTTCACGTTTCCGTATTCTGTTCCGCCTGTTTTGATCTCCTAATATATACATGCAGTATAATTTGAGCGGAAAAGCGGAATGGGGAATTAGAAATTATTAATTTTTAACAATATTTATTGTTTGAAATGAATTTCATTAGTATATCACTACGTAGATTTAATTTTAACGAAGTATTTATTAACTTCTGATAAGTTAATTAAATATTGTCAAACACAATTTTATATGATCATTAACACTTGCAAGCTTAGATTCATAAATATAACAACAGAGTGAACAAATGATTTATGATATATCAATATTACATCGTATTTTCAATATCTGTGGGATATGAATACTATGTCTAAACGTATATATTAAAATACATCGGAGCAAAAAATGAATTGTAAAAAATTTTCTCAACGTTAACATCACATCCAATTTTTTTAATATAAGAGGCCTGTTCTTTTTGATTTCTTTTGCACCAGCTCATCTTTCTTCCTCTTTTTTCTTGGAAAGAAAAGGAAGAAAGAACTGGTGCAAAAGTTCAGTTAAAAAGAACAGAACTTAATGACACAAATTAGAATCGCGTCGATAAAACTATTACTTTTGGACGATTTTTATCAAAATTGCAGATTTCTATTTGTATATCATTTTACTATATAAATTGAAGCATTTATCAAATTCTCTTGAACTAAATCATTTAATATATTGTTTCCAATAATATTGTATTTAATTAGATTATAGAAAACTGACAAATGCTTTAATGAACATTAAAATAATGTGTTCATAAATTTCACAAATTTTGAAAGAATAATAACACAGTTAACACTGATTTTTGTCATTACATCAAAAAAATTGGACCTCATATATAACGTTACATTGTTGATGGAAATTAAAAACTTTTTTTCTTTCTTCCTTATTGATATGCTAGCATATTGTCAGTCATAATGATCGTATTACACAGATATTGAAATCCAAATAACATAAGTTTCACATGTTCATTACATTTGTAAATTCCAGATTCGAAACGTAAATTATCGTTTAACGCATTATATTAGATTATATTTCATTAGCTCGAGGTGTTGACAAATGCTTCATGTATATGTATATAATTAAAATATACCCATTTCATGAATATTAATAAAAAAAATTAATAATCTAATATTAATAGTTTTTACTGATCCTAATTTTTGTCATTAAGAAATGGACCCCATATGTAACGTTACGTCATTAAAAGAAATTTTTTAATTATTTTTTGCTTTCGTATGTATGCTGACATATTATATTGTATTTTCAGATACAATGTTCATATTACACAGATTAAAATTAAAATACTAGTATTCATATTTCTTACATTATTATCTTTTTGAATCATTACCTCTAAGTAAATGATCATTTAAGAGATTGCCTTAGATAATATATATTTATGTAATAGGAATCTGAGAGATATTATAATTTATATAATAAAAACGATATGTTGATATTTCGTTAATTTTGATAAGAATCATGTAAAAATAATAATTCTGCCGAGTGGTTCCGATTTGTTTTCTTCACATCAAATATATTGGACCCCACATATACCATGGTATGTAACGAGGTTGAGAGAAATCTTCACACATATATTTTCTGTGGCATATTTTCTGTGAATTAACGGTCAATGTCGAATTGACATCGAATCTAATTGTAAGTATCATTTCTACCTGGGATGTTCGTATTACACAGATATTGTAATATCTACAAATACATAATATTCGTATTCACTATTTATTTCATTATATTTATGAATTTTAGATTCCAAATGTAAATAATCATTTAATTGCCTTCAATAATATGTACATAATTAGATTATGAAGAGCTAACATGCAAATGCTTTAATGTATACAAATATGAAAACCATATAATACAAGTTAAATTTCACAAATTTTGATGAAAATAATCCGAAGGTGATAATTTTCTGAGTCTGGTTCACATTATTGTTATTATATCAAAAAAATTGACCCTATATATGTTATGTGAAAAATTTTTTAATTAATCTCCTGCTTCTATATTTGAGAGGTATTTACTTATAGATATATTGTTCTTATTACAGATAAAACTAAAATACTATAATATATGTTAACATGTTAATTATTTTATTATATTTGCGATTCCGAGTCCTAAGCATAAATGATCATCCAATTGTTCTTCAGTTTAATTATTTAATGAAAAAAAGAATTTAATGAGAACTTAAAATATTTTTTAAATTTATATATTAT